TGAAAATATTTTCTCATTATATATATGGTCTTTTCACTCTGTTGATAATTTCCTTTGCTATGCAGAAGCTCTTAAGTGTTATGTAGTCCCACTTGTCTACTTTTGTTGCTTGTGCTTGGGTGTAATATCCAAGAAAACATTGCCAAAACCCATGTCATAATGTTTTCCCCCTATGTTTCCTTCTAGTAATTTTAGTTATAGGCATTATGTGTCAGTCTTTAATCTACTTTGAGCTGTTTTGTGTTTGTGGTATAGGATAAAAGTCAAATTTCATTGTTTTTCATCTGTCTATCCAGTGGTTTTCAACACCATTTATGGAAGAGACCATCTTTCCCCATTGTGTATTCCTGGCAATCTTGTCCAAGATCAGTTGACTGTATGTGTGTGTGTGTGTGTGTGTGTGTGTGCACTTGCAGGATTTCTGGGCTCCCTATTCTGTTCCAGTGGTCTACATATCTGCATGTCAGCATCATACTGTTTTCTCTGTTCATTTCCAAGTCAAATAATTCAATATCACAGTAATCCAAGTCTACATCCCAATCACTAATGCCAGAGAAGCTGAAGGTGAATGGTTCTCTGATGACCTACAAGACATTCTAGAGCTAACATCAAAAAAAAGGTGACCTTTTCATCATAGGGGACTGGAATGCAAAAGTAGGAAGTCAAGAGATATGTGAAGTAACAGGCAAGTTTGGCCTTGGAGTACAAAATGAAGCAGGGCAAAGCCTAACAGAGATTTGCCAAGAGAATGCACTGGTCACTAGGCCGTTCAGTTCAGTTCAGTTCAGTTCAGTCGCTTAGTTGTGTCCGACTCTTTGCGACCCCATGAATTGCAGCACGCCAGGCCTCCCTGCCATCACCAACTCCCAGAGTTTACTCAAACTCATGCCTATTGAGTCGGTGATGCCATCCAGCCATCTCATCCTCTGTCGTCCCCTTTCAGGTATGACCTAAATCAAATCCCTTACGATTATGCAGTGGAAGTGACAAATAGATTCAAGGCATTAGATCTGATAGTTCTTCCTGAACTATGGACAGAGGTTCGAGACATTGTACAGGAGGCAGTGATCAAGACCATCCCCAAGGAAAAGATGTGCAAAAAGGCAAAATGGTTGTCTGAGGTGGTCTTACAAACAGGTGAGAAAGGGAGAGAAGCAAAAGGCAAAGGAGAAAAGGAAAGATACACCCATTTGAATGCAGAGTTCCAAAGAATAGCAAGGAGAGATAAGAAAGCCTTCCTTAGCAATCAATGCAAAGAAATAGAGGTAAACAATATAATGGGAAAGACTAGAAGTCTCTTCAAGAAAATTAGAGCTACCAAGGGAACATTTCATGCAAAGATGGGCTCAGTAAAGGACAGAAATGGTATGGACCTAACAGAAGCAGAAGATATTAAGAGGTGGCAAGAATACACAGACGGATTATGCAAAAAAAGATCTTCACGACTCAGATGGTCGTGATCACTCACCTAGAGCCAGACATCCTGGAATGTGAAGTCAAGTGGGCCTTTGGAAGCATTGCTATGAACAAAGCTAGTGGAGGTGATGGAATTCCAGTTGAGCTCTTTCAAATCCTGAAAGATGATGCTGTGAAAGTGCTGCACTCAATATGTCAGCAAATTTGGAAAACTCAGCAGTGGCCATAAGACTAGAAAAGGTCAGTTTTCATTCCAATCCCAAAGAAAGGCAATGCCAAAGAATGCTCAAACTACTGCACAATTGCACTCATCTCACACACTAGTAAAGTAATGCTCAAACTTCTCCAAGCCAGACTTCAACAATACATGAACCGTGAACTTCCAGATGTTCAAGCTGGATTTTGAAAAGGCAGAGGAACCAGAGATCAAATTGCCAACATCTGTTGGATCATTGAAAAAGCAAGAGAGTTCCAGGAAAACATCTATTTCTGCTTTATTGACTATGCCAAAGCCTTTGACTCCGTGGACCACAACAAACTCTGGAAAATTCTGAAAGAGATGGGAATACCAGGCCACCTGACGTGCCTCTTGAGAAATCTGTATGCAGGTCAGGGAGCAATAGTTAGAACTGGACATGGAAAAACAGACTGTTTCCAAATAGGAAAAGGAGCACATCAAGGCTGTGTATTGTCACCCTGCTTATTTCGCTTATATGCAGAGTACATCATGAGAAACGCTGGGCTGGAAGAAGCACAAGCTGGAATCAAGATTGCCGGGAGAAATACCAATAACCTCAGATATGCAGATGACATCACCCTTATGGCAGAAAGTGAATAAGAACTAAAGAGCCTCTTGATGAAAGTGAAAGAGGAGAGTGAAAAAAATTGGCTTAAAACTCAACATTCAGAAAACTAAGATCATGGCATCCAGTCCCATCACTTCATGGCAAATAGATGGGGAAACAGTGGAGACAGTGACAAACTTTATTTTCTTGGGCTCCAAAATCACTGCAGATGGTGACTGCAGCCATGAAATTAAAAAATGCTTGCTCCTTGGAAGAAACACTTTGACCAACCTAGACAGCATATTAAAAAGCAGAGACATTGTCAACAAAGGTCTGTCTAGTCAAAGCTATGATTTTTCCAGTAGTCATGTGTGGATGTGAGAGTTGGACCATAAAGAAAGCTGAGCACTGAAGAATTGGTTCTTTTGAACTATGGTGTTGGAGAAGACTCTTAAGAGTCCCTTGGACTGCAAAAAGATCCAACCAATCCATCCTAAAGGAAATCAGTCCTGAATATTCATTGAAAGGACTAATGCTGAAGCTGAAACTCCAAACCTTTGGCCACCTGATGCGAAGAACTGACTTATTTCAAAAGACCCCGATGTTGGGACAGATTGAAGACAGGAGGAGAAGGGGACTACAGAGGATGAGACGGTTGGATGGCATCACTGACTCAATGGACATGAGTTGAGTAAACTCCGGGAGTTGGTGATGGACAGGGAGGCCTGGCATGCTGCAGTTCATGGGGTCACAAAGAGTTAGACACGACTGAGCAACGGAACTGAACTGACTATGTTGCTGCAGCTTCTTAAGTGAACTCATGAAGTCTATCAGAGCTGTTTCATTCACATCTGTCTGTCCAATTGTTTTCCCTGTGGGGATAGAGAGTGGGATCTCCTACTAAACCATCTTGCTGACATTACTCTCTATATAAATTTTTGAATCAGTTTGTCACTTTCTACAAACTTCCTGCTGGCATATGAATCAGGATTGCATTGAAACTGAAGATCAATAGAATTGAAATCTTAACAGTATTAAGTCCTTCAATATAAAATCATGGTATATGTCTCCAATTATTTATTACTTTTATTTCTCTCAGAAATTAGTGTTTTGTAGTTTCCATTGTGTAGATCCTGCACATATTTTATTAATTCATACCACAATATTTTATGTTTCTGGTGCTATTATGGATGGTATTTTAGTTCAATTTCTGATTATTTGTTGCTTATATGTAAAATACATTTTTATGTTTATGTTGACTTGTGGTTTACAAATATATTCAGCTCACTTATATGCATAAAGGTGTTTTTGTAGGTTCTTTGAAATTTTCTCTGTATATTATAATTTACACTTCATATTAATGTTTTCTATGAATGAAGAGAGTTGATTTCTTCCCTTCCAATTGTACTTTGTTTTCATTTTTTCTGCCCTTAATGCAGTTGTGAGAGCTTCCAGTCAAATGTTGAATAGAAATAGAAACAGTCCTCTTTGCCTTCTTAATCTTAAGGGGAAAAATTCAGTCTTTGTTTATTAAATACAATGTTAGCTGTAGCTGTGTTATTTTTGATGCCTTTTATTAGATTCAGGAAGTTTTCTGCTATATGTTGTACTGAAAGGGTTAATGGATGTTGAATTTTTTTTTCAAAATTTTTTTTTTGTTATCTACAGTTTTACCTTCTTTTTAGTCTGTATTTCTTTTTTATTCTTTTGCTTCATTAGTCAGAACTGCCAGTAAAATGTTCCAGAAAAGTCATGAAGGTGGGCATCTTTGCCTTCTCTTTTTTTTTTTTTAAGTGGAAAACGTGTTTATTAACATTCAAACTCCCTTCCTACAAGGCCATATAAAAATTCTTAGCATTTTGATTATATATAAGCCTATATTTTCTACATAGTTACAATAATGTGTAATTTAGCTTTTCATAATACATTGTTTAAATACATCATTAGTTCTGTTAAACATAAGCAACGTTTTCAAATCCAATACTTGAACAGTTTCCTCTGTACACAGTTTAGCAGGGCTAATAAGCAAAGGATGCTCTTATTAAGAGGTATGTGATCTGAATATTAACAATTACTGAAGTTTGGTATTTTTATACAGCATTTTGCTTATGTTTTGATCACCACACAGAATCCTGAAGGATACTGAAATTCAGTAAGTAAAGTCAGAGACATTGCTTCAGCTGATAAATCAAGTTCATACATGACACTATAGTATTAAAAACCTTAGAAACAGGAACAAACCTTTTGCAGACTGCCTGAGTGCTGACTGTTCCTGTCAGAGAGAGGCTACTTGGCAACAGAGAGGAGAAAGCTTTGAGTTCCTCTGTGGTGCTGTGGTGGCCTCTCGCTGATGACGGCGATCTGGGCAAACACCAGAATAAGCATATCCCAGCCCAACAGCTCTGGGTGACTTTGTGGAGATGGGAGTCGGCTCATGCTCGGCCGCTACAGCACTGACCCTGTGTGTGAAAACGTGGAACATGTGCATCCTGTGATCTAGGTCTTAACTGCAAGCTATACTGAGGAATTTTTTTTAATGTTTTGGCTATATTTCATTCCAAAAGAGTCGATCTGATGCTTGAGTTACAGCACCAGTCTATTATTAGTGAAATGAAGTACACTCCTGCAGATAAAATACCAGATCAAAAAAAACCTGTTTCAGTAATCTTGATTAACCTGTAGAATAAAAAATAAATTATCTCTACAGAAATCTCTGAAGGGAGCAAAAAAAAAAAAAAAAATCAAACTATATGCCTAAAGAAACATTTTAAAACGAAATAACCCAACATCCTCTGAAGGTCAGACAGTATTTGCTATGTTGTAATCCCGGTCACCATTAGGCTGCAGCTGGACCACAACACTGTGTTCATTCATTTCATTTTCTGCGTCACTGCTGTCGGGATCTTCATTGTCATCCTCCTCGTAGTCTGAAGACTCTGTCATGTTCTGATGTGAGCGGGATTCCGACAAGGCCCCGAATGACTGGGTGCTGGCGGAAGCCACAGGCCTGAGTAAAGGGGTGTGTTCCGACACTTCGTTTTCTTCTTGACTACTATCTGTGTCAGAGTCTGAATCGCCTTGAGAAGGGACGACTTTTTGCTTGCAGACTGGACAGGTTTTTTTGGTCTTAGTTAGCCAAGGATCTACACACTTGCAGTGATAAGCATGGGAACAGGGAAGGATTCTGAGTTTGTCTCCATCTTCATATTCATCCAAACAAATGGCACATACATCATATTCATCTCCCTTTTTGAATTTATGTACAGGGAGCTTCTTCAGTTGATCTTTACGAAGTCGGTTTCTCCTAGCTCTATGCCGATCCTGGACAAATTTTGTGATCATAAAAATGACTATCAAGATGAGACAGATGCCCACTATGATAAGGAAGGGGATTAGGTAGTATTCCAGAGGAAGGCTAAATTCTGGAACTAAGATAATGTGGCCTCCTTTTTCATATGTGAATTCATCTTTCAGGGAATTAGCTGATGATTCATCAATAAAGACAGATGGAATGTCAATTTTCTTTAGTACCTCAACTGTACTTACTGTCGTTGGATCCCATGCTAATGAGGTCATCGGAGTCAACATTGTGGACTATGGCTGCTTTGTAGCCTGCTCTCTGTGCATTTAAAACCTTTTCATCAAAATTACAATCAAGTCTTCTAATTAACACGATGAAAGTGCCAGATGAATTATCTCTTACTGGCGGAGGCACGATGGGTTCACAGGCATTCTCTGGTTTTGAGTTAATCAAAAAACCCTTTAAACCTTCAGCTGGAAGTCTATAACCAAACCTTGCTGGAAGGTCATCAAATGTCTGAGATGCATTTTCAAAATTATATGCTAAAATGTCTGCTTCTACAGGCAGGAGGTTTAAGAATGCAAAGAGCTGGACAGTCAAGATGGTGTAGACTTGCGTAGCCGAGAGCATGAGCATCCCTATGGAGAGCAGCATCTCGCTGTAAAATCACCTGGAAGCTGACCCTGCCACACAAACAGGCATGCCAGCCGCGTCGCTGCAGAAGTCTCTACCCCGACTTCATGACTGGATCTCCGCACCCTCCAAATGGAGTCACTTAGAAGTGTCAACTCCACTTGGTCTTTGGAAAAGATACAGCCACAAGTTCTCCAGGAGCTCTGCTCTCAGAGTAGGAAGGGCTTCCCACAGTAAACACGCAAAGGGCTGAGAGAACTACCTGTGCCAGGTGCATGGCTACAGACAGGCCTGTGGAGCTCCTGGGAGGGGATGTGGGCTGGGGCCAGGGAGCTAGTGGTTTATGAAGTAGCAGAAATGCTGCCCTGAGCAGAGCACTCAATCTGCTGCCTCCATGAAGGGAGCACTGCTTGTGCTGGCCTTGATGGTAACTAGAGAGCTCACTTTCAAGATGCATGAGGGTAGGAAGGAGGGTCCAATTGGCCCTCCTGATCCTTGCCCCATGCTGTCTCACTGCATCCTTCCCAGTCCTGTCCAAGCCGCTTTGAGGGGCAGATTCTGAGGGCAGGTGGCAGATCAGTGCCTAGGAGTCCTGTAGAAACTCCTGAGGCTTTCAGTCTTTGAATGGAGTGGGTGGTATGACCCACCGGAAGGGTCATTAGCTGTGCACACCTTGAGGGATAGTTTGTTGGGTTTAGTGTGCTCTTTGGAAGGGAGGAAGCAGGCTGATATGCCTGGGGATGGTGGTCAAGGGTAGAGGGGTCTCCGGGCCTCACCCTTGCTACTCTCCCTACTGGGAGTGCCTCATAGGGAAGGATTTCTGTAAGCAGTCCTGGGAGAGGGCGGGACTCTGTGGGAGGTGAGTCTGGAAGCTTTGGATGTGTGAGTTCCTATCAAGTGGTGGGAAACAGGAACCTTCTGACCTGGTGATTCTTTTGACAAGGTGTTTTCTGTCTCTGCCTATAGCGGAAGCCTGCCCTGTGTTTTATGGAGTGTTTATTTAGCACAATGTCCTTTGGAAACAGGACACTGTTGGGCCTATTCCTGGATATGATCAGTGCTACTGATTCAGTAAAAGCTGCCATAGGAAAAATCCAGGATTGCTACAGTGAGGCAGGACTTATTTTCAAGTTTTTGGTTCTGAAATTCTTGGTAATTATTACTTCCCTGACCCTCACTCCGCCTTGCCCACTCACATGCATAGTGCAGTATGCCACATGGGAATAGATTATGCAGTCATGGGATATGTGACAGACAAGAGCTATAAACAAGCACATAAACCTTTGCTCCAGCCTACAGCACCTGTAATTTTCAAGCACAGTCTGCCCGTATCATGCCAATCAGCTTGCACACAATAGGGGACTGGCATCAGTGCAGTAGGCCAACTGTGTTGACCTATGTGATTGTTTTTTTAGTGAGAGGAGCTAGCATTGGAGGAGTAGAATTTTAATCTTTGGCAGGAAAGGCAGCATTTCCTAGCTCCCACACCTCTAGGAGTCACATCAGTTCTATTTAAGGAATATGGAAAAAAGCCCCTGTTTTTAGAATCTCTTCTCAGGAAGGGACTCCCTTAAGGCCTGTGCTCACATCATCTCCTTTTTATCACACTTTGATGCAATTGCTCTGGCTCAGAGCTCAGAGCTCCATTTCCACTGACATGGTCTCAGTGCCTACAAGCCAGAATTTCCCTTGTGGTGTTTTGGTGCCTGAGGCTCCTGAGGAGGCTTCTAGCTACCTGTGGCTGCTCACCCGAGCTCGTATGTATCTCCCAAAGAAATTTTCCCTCTAGTTCCTTCGTCCTACCAAGTTTTGTGTGGTTCTATGTATTCTTTTCCTGTGGTTCAGGTACTCCTGTGCTCTCAGCTGGTGCATCTGCAAGCACTTCTGTGTCTGAAGGTGTATTCCTGATGTATCTGTGAAGAGAGACGTACTCCACGTCCACCTACTCCTCCGCCATCTTGTTCTCCAAATATGCTTAATTTTTTTTTGCTTGTATTTTGATTTTTTGTATTTGCTTGTACACTTAGCTTGTATTTTGCAATATGTTCAAATCACTTATATGGATAATGATGTTTTTGTAGATTCTTTAGGATTTTCTTCTAATTTGTTATAATTTGCTCTGTATATTTATTATTTTCTGTGAATGAAGAGAGTTTGATTTCTTCCCTTCCAACTGTCCTTTGTTTTCATTTTTTCTTGCTGTTTTTCAGTTGTGAGAGTTTCCAGTCCAATGTTGAACAGAAATAGAAAAATAGGCCTCTTTGCTTATTCTTTTTTTAAATATAAATTTATTTATTTTACTTGGAGGCTAATTACTTTACAATATTGTAGTGGTTTTGCCATACATTGACATGAGTCTGCCACGGGTGTACATGTGTTCCCCATCCTGAACCCCCCCTCCCCCTGCCACCTCCCTCCCTATATCATCCCTCTGGGTCATCCCAGTGCACCAGCCCCGAGCACCCTGTCTCATGCATTGAACCTGGACTGGCTATCTGTTTCACATATGATAATATACATGTTTCAATGCTATTCTCTTAAATCATCACACCCTCGCCTTCTCCCACAGAGTCCAAAAGACTATTCTATACATCTGTGTCTCTTTTTCTGTCTTGCATATAGGGTTATCGTTACCATCTTTCTAAATTCCATATATATGCATTATAATCTTTGCTTATTCTTAATCTTGGGGGAAAAATTTGGTCTTTGTTCATTAAATGCCATGTTAGCTGAAGTCTTCCTTGTTATTTTTGATGCCTTTTATTAGGTTGAGGAAGTTTTCTTTTATTACTGTTGTACTGAAAGCCTTAATGATGTTTATTTTTTAATTAATATATTTATTTTAACTGGAGGATAATTACTTTATAATAGTGTAATTTTTTTGCCATACATCAACATGAATCAGCCATAGGTATACATGTGTCCCCCCAATCCTGAACCCCTTTCCCTCCCCCCTCCCCATCCTATCTCTCTAGGTTGTCCCGGAGCACCAGCTTTGTGTGCCTTGCTTCATGCATCAAACTCGCAGTGGTCATCTGTTTTACATATGGTAATGTGTATATTTCAGTGCTGTTCTCTCTCCTTCTCCCACTGGGTCCAAAAGTCTGTTCTTTGTGTTTGTGTCTCCTTTGCTGCCCTGCATGTAGGATTGTTGGTACCATCTTTCTAAATTCCATATATATGAGTTAATATACAGTATTTGTCTTTCTCTTTCTGACTTACTTCACTCTGTATAATAGGCTTCAGGTTTATCCGTCTCATTAGAACTGATTCAAATGTGTTCCTTTTTATAGCTGAGTAATATTCCATTTTGTATATGTACCACAAATTCCTTATCCATTCATCTGCCCATCAGTTTCTTTTCTGCATGTTTTGATGTTTTTTGTACACTTTTACCTCCACCTTTTCAGTGTGTGTTTCTTTTTTATTCTTTTGCTTCATTGGTCAGTGCTGCCAGTTCCAGAAAAATTCATGAAAGTGGGCATCTTAGCTTTTGTCTCAATTTTAGGGGGAAGGCACTCAATATTTCACCATTAATTTTTATGTCAATTGTAGGGTGTGTGGGCTTCAGTAGTTGTAGTGCAAGGGCTCATTAGTTGTGGCTTGTGGGCTCTGGAGTTTGGGATCAGTAGCTGTGGCATATGAGCTTAGTTGTCCATGGCATGTGGAGTCCTCCTGGACCAGGGATCCCACCTGTGTCCCCTGCATTATTGTCAGTTGTAGGTGGTTTTGTAGGTGCAACTTATAATGTTGAAGAACTTTCTTTTTATCTTAGTTTATGGATATGTTTTATTATGAATGTTTTGACTATGTCAAACATATTTTCAGCTTCAATTGAGATGATCATAAGACCCTTTTCCCTTATTCTGTTAATATGGTGGATTACCTTGATTGACTTTGAATGCTAAATGAATCATGTATTCCCTGGATAAATAATACCCTGTCTTTATGTGCCACTTCTTTTATATGTTGCTGGATTTGAATTCCTAATGTTGTGTTAATTTTTTGTGATTATATTTTTACAAAGGGTATGAGTTTCTACTTTTCTTGTAATATCTTTTTCCTGAAAATATGATGAGGATAATATTGGCCTAAACAGATGAGTTAGGAAGGTTTGTTTGTCGTTCATTTTTTAAAGCATTTATAGAGGGCTGTTTTTACTTCTTTAATATTTTATGACATTCACCACTATAAATCTATGGGCCTAGAACTTTTTATTTGTGATGGTTTAGTTAAAATTTATCTTTCCTTTTGCATTGAGTCACTTTTCATAATTTTTATCTTTAATAAAGTTGTCCATTTCATCTAAGCCATCAAATTAATTGGCATAATTTGTTCATAATATTTTCTCCTTACATGTATGTGGAACCAATAAAGACATCTCTCTTTACTTTATTATGGTAATTTGTGTCTTATTTCTTTTCTTGAAAAGTGATACAGGTTTCTCAACTGTTTTGATTTTTTAAAGATCCTAATTTTGATGGTTGTTGATACTCTTTTTTTTTTTTTAACTGTACTGGGTCTTTATTACAGACCATGGGATTTCTCTCTTTGTGGTGAGCTGGGGCTGCTGTCTATTTCTAGAGGATTGACCCTGACCCTCAACTCTGGGCATCCCAGGCCTGGGGAGGGCAGGAGGGCAGCTTTTGGAAGCAGCTTCCTCTTAGGGCATGTGGGGCATAAATGTCCCATTGGGGTCCAGGGAACAAGGAGAAATGCGGGGTTTAGGTGGGATAGAGAACGGTTTCAGGCAGTAACGGAAACAACTGATGTTTGGAGGAGGGAAGGACTCAATGCTAATGGATTGCAGCAGATTCAGGTTCATGTGTTGGACAGGCTGGAGTCAGGGAGACCAGTGCTGAAGGCCTAACTCCCATGCAGGTGGCACCACAGAGTCAGGAGGGCCTGGAGGGTCCCAGGACTGTGAGGTCCCAGAGCTGAGCAGTCAGGGCCAGCTCAAGAGACCCAGGGCTGGACTAAGTTTTCCTGCAGGATCCTTTCTCACACTGTGGGTGTTGGCCACATCCTCTCTACCTCCTCATTCATGAGGATCTTTTTGCACCCAGGTTCCTGGGGAAGGGCCAGGGTGGAGAGGATATGATCCCCCCACTTCCCAGTGCTCTGAGCAGGCCCCTGACACCCTCACCCCCACACAGACCCCACAGGCACATTCACAGATAGCCTGACCCACCAGAGCACTGAGAGCATCCTGCTTATCCTTGGCTGTCAAACTCTTATCAGCACAGCTCTTCAGGGTATCGGCAGTTTCCAGTACATCAGAGGTTTTGTTATACTTTTCAACTTGTTCTATATAAGTGTCATGGCTTCCCAATATGAACAGGTTGATGCTATCCCTCAAGGCCTGACAGATGTCATCACACTCTGAAACAGAAAGATAAGGGGAAACTCCCTGAAAGATACTCATTAGAACACACCGTTCCCTTCCCTCTCCCGACATGCTCAGTGCTGCCCTGGGAAGGTGTCGGAAAACTTCGGGAGCCCAGGTCCCAGCCACTCACTTCCGCCCGCAATGAGAAGCAAGGCAGCGCAGAGTAGCAGGAGAGCTCCAGCCCGAGTCATGGTGCCGGTGGCAGATGCTCCCTAATCACCTGGAGCCCTTTTATACCTCTGCTTGTCCTCACCCTCAGGGGGCCTGTGTCAGATACTTTATTTTTCAGGAGATTCTGCCAGGCCATAGTGTGAAGTTGCCCGGGGCTGCACAGGAGGAGCTGTGTGTGTTGGCAAGATGCTAGTCCTTGAGTCCACAGAGGAAACTGCCTCAGCCTCCTCCCCATGGAGGGCTCTGAGGGAGGGGCAGCTGACTCAGGAAGCTTAACAGCTGAAAATCCCCAGGTTGACCAAAAAGGGCAAAAGTGCTCCCAGATCAGGCCTCCTGAATGCTGGCCTGTGACAGGCTGTCAGAACAACTGTGACCTTGAAGACCGGCTGGTGTGGACTTAATGGGTCTTCAGGAAGCTCAGTGCTTAGTGAATGGTCTCACAGGGAGTAAGTTCCAGGCAGGGCAAAACACAAGCCCTGAGACCCTGGTCAGGGTCTCTGGTGGCTCCTGCCCTACTGTTATCACTGTGTCCTTGATCTTGGTCAATGGCCTTTGTTGGGCCACTTCCAGCAATCCCTGTCTGGAGCCCTGAAATTCATCTGTTGCTGGCCCATAAGTTTCTGTTTTTTTCTTGATCAAGAACCGCCAACTGGTGACTTTGATAGCACCTCATTCTACAGAAATATTTTCTGCAATCTCTTTTTAAAATATTTATTTGTTTATTGTGCTTGCTTCAGCAGCACATATACTAAAATTGGAACGATACAGAGAAGATTAGCATGGCCCCTGCGCAACGATGACATGCAAATTCGTGAAGCGTTCCATATATTTTTTACAGTATACTAACACATATATATGGAATTTAGAAAGATGGTAACGATAACCCTATATGCAAAACAGAAAAAGAGACACAGATGTATAGAACAGACTTGTGGACTCTGTGGGAGAAGGCGAGGGTGGGATGTTTCAAGAGAACAGCATTGAAACATGTATATTATCTAGGGTGAAACAGATCACCAGCCCAGGTTGGATGCATGAGACAAGTGCTCGGACCTGGTGCACTGGGAAGACCCAGAGGAATTGGGTGGAGAGGGAGGTGGGAGGGGGGATCGGGATGGGGAATACATGTATATCCATGGCTGATTCATGTCAATGTATGACAAAAACCACTACAATATTGTAAAGTAATTAGCCTCCAACTAATGAAATATTAAAAAAAATATTTATTTGTTTATTATTTGGCTGTGTTGAGTCTTAGTTGTGTCACATAAGATCTTTCATCATATGAGGTCTTTTGTTGTGGCGCATGGATTCTCTAGTTGTGGAGCGTGGGCTCAGTAGTTATGACCTGCAGGCTGTGTTGCTCTGCTGCATGTGGGATCTTAGTTTCCTGACCAGGGATTGAACCCATGTCCCTTGTGTTGCAAGGTGGATTCTTAACCCCTGGACCACCAGGGAAATCCCTCTTTCTTTTTTCTTTTAATTTTTTTCTTTTGTATTGGAGTATAACCAATTAACAATGTTATGATAGTTTCAGGTCAACAACAAAGGCACTTAGCCGTATATATATATATACACACATATATACATGCATCCATTCTTTCCAAAATTCCCCTCCCACATAGGCTGCCACAAAACATTGAGTAGAGTTTCTTGTGCTATACAGTTTGTCCTTGCTGATAATCTGTTTTAAATTTAACAGTGTGCATCTGTCCATCTGAAACTGCCTGACTATCCTTGCCCCCTATCCAACCCAGGCAAGGAAAGTTTCATTCTCTTAAGTCTGTGAGTTTGTTTCTGTTTTGTAAATTAACTCCTTTGTATCATGTCTTTTCCGATTCCCTTTATAACAGATGTCATGAGGTATTTCTGCTTCTCTGTCTGACTTACTTCACTCAGTATGACAATCTCTATGTCCATCCATTTTCTGCACTATCTTTCTACTCTTGAGTGTCTCTGTTCTGTTCCCAACATCACCTCTCTAGAGGAAAAGCCGAGCCCTTTCTAACCGCAACCTCTGGGCCAGTTGCATCACCAGCCCTGCACTGCTGCTGCCTCTGTGGACTTATCCCTGCCTTTCTCTCCTCCCTCAGTGCCTCCTGTCTGCTTCTGGACTAGATCGAGTTTGCTTATGCTGCAGGGCCTCTCTGTGTGGTGCCCTGCTCCAGTGGTTGCATGATTCATTCCCTCATCCTCAGGAGTCTTCAAGTATCACAGGACACAGATGTCCCCATATCTTGAGCCCTTAATTTCAAACCATGCTGCCTCCATCCTCCCCCCATGGCCCTCTGTCTTCTCCCCCTCCTTCATCTTCACCCAGAGCACTTCTTCCCATGGGGTCACTGTCTTTCACTCCCTCTTAGGTGATGAAGAGCTGCAGGAGGGCGAGAGCTGTGCTGTGTGCTGCTGCATCCCAGGACTAGGAGAGGGCCCAGCATTCGGTAGATGTTGCACAGTGTTTGTTAGAATAATGGCAGGAATATTCCATTTCCCTGGAGTTGATAAACAAGAATATTTTAACTTCTATTTGCTATATATGTCCTTATAAATATTGCATGGAATTAACTGAATAAGGTAAAGGTTTAAAATATTGGATAATTCAGAAGCAAAGAGATTTCGCTAGAGGAACCTGGCTGGCCTTTCTCTGAGTCACCTGTGGCATATTAAGGTTTGCTGAAGGCCAGACCTGAGTTGGAACACAAGGTGTGATCATAGTTAGAACTCTGTGCCAAATAGGATTCATATCCGGTAACTGCTCTTGGCAAAGAGGCACCAAGTACTGAGCTGTAGAGAGAACTGGCCTAGTGGAGCTGCTCCTCGCCCTGGCTCCTGCTGCCTGGGGGCCACCTCTCTGAAGGTCACCCCATGAGGCCTCAGGTGGCTTCAGATGTGCCTCAGAGGTTCATGGGAAGTAAGGTGAACACCACATTGCCCAGGCTACACATGCTGGCTCTTTGTCTGTGGGAGCAGGACCTCTAAGTTGTGGGACCGCTTCCCATGGATCCCATGTCTCCTGTTCTTCTGAAGATGCTGCCCGCAATGCCCTCTGCAGCTCTGTGAGGAGAGGAGCCAGGGCTTGGAGTGCTGAGTACCAGTGCACTTCCAAGGGTGCCACTGGCTCCTCTGAAATGTCCCCAAATCGTGGGGACATTTGGTGACATCAGGGAGAAGAGCTGGGAAAGGTCATTGGTGGAATGCAGGAGATGTAGCCCTTTCCTTATGTGGGTTGTTTTTCTTTTAATATATTTTTAGTTGGAATAGAATTAGTTTACAATATTGTGTTAACTTCTGAGATAGAACAACATGACTTAACCATTGGTATACATGTGTCCTCTCTCTCTTGAATGCCCCCAACCCCATCCCACACTTCTAGATTGCCACACAGTACCTCATTGATCTATGTCAAGTTTTTTATACAAAATTTTAATTTGGAATAATTTTAGATGTATAGAATAGTTGCAAATATTTGTCAACACTGAAAAACAACATTTGAACATTCAGTTCAGTTCAGTTCAGTTGCTCAACTGGAATTCCATCATCTCTACTAGCTTTGTTCATAGTGATGCTTCCTAAGGCCCAGTTGATTTTGCATTCAGATGTCTGGCTCTAGTCCAGTGATCACACCATCATGGTTATTTGGGTTGTGAAGATCTTTTTTATATAGTTCTTCTATGTATTCTTGCCACCTCTTCTTAATATCTTCTGCTTCTGTTAGGTCTATACCATTTCTGTCCTTTATTGCGCCCATCTTTGCATGAAATGTTCCCTTGGTATCTCTAATTTTCTTTAAGAGATCTCTAGTCTTTCCTGTTCTATTGTTTTCCTCTATTTCTTTGCATTGATCACTGAGGAAGGCTTTCTTATCTCTCCTTGTTATTCTTTGGAACTTTGCATTCAGATGCTTATATCTTTCTTTCTCCTTTGCCTTTAGTAGTAATTTGAACATTACTACTAACTTAACCTCACACTTTATTTGGATTTCACCAGGTTGTCCATTAATGTCTCTTGTGTTCCAGGATCCAATCCACCACCTACACTCACTGCATTCATTGTCCTGTGTCCCCAGTGTCCTCTGCTCTGTGGATTACTCATTCTCTCCTGGTCTGCTGTGGCTTTGACAGTCTTGAGGAGGACTGGCCAGGGATGGTCGAAGGCCCCCAGGCTGAATTTGTCTGCCGCTATTCTCACAATGTCGAGTGAGCCTCAGGCTTTGTATTTTGAGGAAGACACCACAGAGTTGAAGCGCCCTTACATCAGGGAACAAGTGACAACAGTGTGTCTTACCAGTGGGTATGTCACTGACTGAATGGACATGAGTTTGAACAAGCTTTGGGATATGGTGAAGGACAGAGAAGCCTGGTACGCTGCAGTCCATGGTGTCACAAAGAGTCAGACACGACTGAGCAACTGAACAACAACAATGTCAGTCGTAAGTACTTGATCATGTTGTGTTTGCCAGGTTTTCTGCATTGTTTTCCTCTTCCCCTCCTCTTTTCTTTGGCAACGAGTTACTAAGTCTAGCCCAGACTCAGAATGAAAGTGAAAGTGAAAGTTGCTCAGTCGTGTCCGACTCTGGAATCCCTTGGACTATACAGTCCATGGAATTCTCCAGGTCAGAATACTGGAGTGGGTAGTCTTTCCCTTCTCCAGGGGAATCTTCCCAACTCAGGGATTGAACCTAGGTCTCCCGCATTGCAGGCGGATTCTTTACCAGCTGAGCCACAAGGGAAGCCCAAGAATACTGGAGTGGGTAGCCTATCCCTTCTCCAGCGGATCTTCCCAACCCAGGAATCGAACTAGGGTCTCCTGCATTGCAGGTGGATTCTTTACCAACTGAGGTATCAGGGAAGCTCACGGGGTCAGGGCAGTAAACTCCCCCTCCTGGAGGGGATAATCTACATGTGTTATTTGGGATATTTCTGTAAGGAATGGTTGTTGCTTCTCTCATATTATTTTTGTTTGAGTTTGCTGGGTTTTCTTTTGCCGTGTTGGCTCTATGTTGTGGTTCACAGACCTTCTCTTTGCAGAGAATGTTCTCTCTAGTTGGTGTTTGAGGGTTTTATTTGCCCCAGGTCATGTGGGATCTTATTTCCCTGAACAATCCATGTCCACTGTATTGGAAGGTAGATTCTTAACCACTAGACCACTAGGGAAGTCTGTATTTATTTGACCATTTATTTATACCAATATGGACTCACATGGATTAGTTTATACTTTGGGTTATCTTATCATCTAGTACTCTGTTATTCATTTTTTGTGTCGAATTGTTTCCAGTTTGACCAGTGGGATCTTCTTAAGCTTTCTCCTTTGAATTTAAGGCCCATCTTTTCTTGTTTGTGCCAATAAACTGCTTTCCTAGTGTGGAAGGTTGAGTTTGGCTCTTGAGTGAATTTTCACACATGATGTACCATCTCTGGCGGACCCAGCATCCTAGGCCTTAGAACTCCCATCCACAGTGGACTGTAGGGCTGTGGACCTTTGAATCTGTGAAGCAGGAGACAAAACCCACAACCCTACAGCTGCTCACTGATGTTTCTGGAGAGACTGTGCAGTGCAAGCCCCTCTTAAGGCTGGTTCACTGATGGAGGAGGATGAAACTAGCAGACAGGGCAAGGCTGGAGCCCATGGGAGTCAGTATCTGTCTAGGAACTTGCTCCCGTGTGGGCCTGAGGAGCTCTGATGGCATGATTGAAAGTACAGCATTATAGCCTCCTGAGAAAACCCATGTGGCCTCAAGTCCAGTGTGTTCCTTGCTAGGATGATTTGAAGTCCAAGAATGATGTCCACCAGTCCTCAGGGCCCCATCTAGAGACTGCAGTCATTAAGATAGTTAGGGGTTGCAGTAAGGTCCAGTGCTCAATTCTTATCTCCATGACTTAAACTTGGGGAAAAAGGAAGGATTCTGGATGACCTTTCTTCTACCTGATAGTGGTGTAGACCTGTCCTTGGCCTTCCTGTGAGTCTATCTGCTCAGTTTGGGAGAGTGCTGCCCTCAGAGCCAGGATAGTGTGGGGGAAGGATGACCCAGAAAACAGATGATGGTTGGGGCCCAGGAAACAGAGCATCTGGCCCCAAATGGAGTTACTTAGAAATGTCAGCTCCACTTGGTCTTTGGCAAAGATGTACCCACATGTTCTCCAGGAGCTCTGCTCTCAGAGTAGGAAGGGCTTCCACAGTAAACACCCCATGAAGCCAGGGAGCCACCTGTGCCAGGTGCCTGGCCACAGGCCTGTGGAACTCTAGGGAGCACCATGGGCTGAGCTCAGGGAGCTAGCTGTTTATAAAGTGACAGAAACCCTGCCCTGAGCAGATCACTCCAGCCACTGCCATGATGAGGGGAGCACTGCTTGTGCTGGCCTTGCTGGTGACCAGAGAGCTGACCTTTGAGACGTGTGAGGGTAGGAAGGAGGGTCCAGATGACCCTCGTGATCCTTGCCCCATGTTGTCTCACTGTATCCTTCCCTGTCCTGTCCAAGCTGCTTCAAGGGGGAGATTCAGAGTGCAGCTGGCAGATCAATGCCCAGGAGTCCTACACAAACTCCTTGAGGCTTTCAGCCTTTGAATGGAGTGGGTTGTGTAGAGCTGGAAGGGTCATTAACTGTGCACACCCTGGGATGTTGTTGTGGATACTCATGTTCATTGGAAAGAGGGAAGCAGGCTGATATGCCTGGGGCAGTGGTCAACGGCAGAGGGGTCTCCAGGCAAAGCACCTCTTGCTACTCCCTCTGCTGGGAGTGCCTCATAGGGAAGGGTTTCTGTCTGGGATGTAAGCAGTCCTGGGAGAGGGCGGGTCTCTGTGGGCGGTGAGACTGGAAGCTTTGGATGTGTGAGTTCCTATCAAGTGGTAGGAAAACCTCCTACTTTGGTTAACCTTTGATACGGTTTTTCTGTCTTGCCTTCAGTGGAAGCCTGCCCTGTTTTTTATGAAATGCAGACCGCTGTGAACTTTGTACTACCAAGGGCAGCATTAAATGAAACCTTAGATTCGGTCAGAGCTACAGATGAGGAAAAAGCAGCCTTTGGAAAAATCCAGGATTGCTTCATTGAAGGGGGACATCAGAACCGGTTTAATCATCTGAAATTTAAGGTAATTTACCTTTACCCACACCCACTCTGAGAACTCACATGCAGCATAGTGCAATATGCCACATGGTAATATATCATGCAGTCATGGGATATGTGACAGAGAAGAGCTCTAAACAAAGAAGCATATAAACCTTTGCTCCAACCTGCAGTACCTGTAATATGCAAGTGCAGTCCACCTGCACTTCCAGCCTCTGGTTACAGAATATGTCCATATCATGTCCATTAACTCACACAGAATAGAGAACTAATATCAATGCAATATGCCAAATGTATTGTCATGTGATTTTTTTCCCTTCATGAGAGGAACTAGCATTGAAGGAGTAGCATTTTAATCTTTGGCAGGAAATGCAGCATTCAGCTCACCTACCTGTAGGAGTTGTGTCAGTTCTACTTTAGGAATACTGAAAAGGAGCCCCTGTCTTTAGAGTCTCTTTTCAGCATGGGACTCCCTGACTTTGTAAGGTTTCTGGCCTGTGGTCACATCACTTCCTCTTGTTCCCACTGTGGCTCAGAGCCCCATTTCCACTAACATGGTCTCAGTGCCTACAAGCCAGAATTTCCACTGTGGTATTTTGATGTCTGAGGTACCTTCTAGGTACCTGCAGCTGCTCACCTGGGCTAGAAATGTATCTCTCGAAGAACCATCTTTTTTGTTTTTGTTGTTTTTCTTGATACAGTATTGGAGATCTTAAATAGTCTGTCTTATCACATTTTCCCTCAATTGTTGATTATTCAAAATGAGAGGTTTTCCAAGAACCAGAGTTTCTAGAGTACTAACAGAAGCACACAGGGCACCAGGGCTAGTTTATGATACCTGCATGCACATTCCGTGCACCCAGCACACCTGGCAGAAGAGGCTCGGGTGCAGAATGTGATCCAAACCCAGACTCCAGCACCTTGCTCCTCTGTCAGGACCAGCCCCAACTGGCCCTTCTGACCCTTCATCTCCTCTCCTCCCTGGTGTGGCTGGTGGCTCCATTTCCCTCCTGACACCTGTGCCTGGGCTGTTATGGAATCATCCTTCTCCTGCTGCCTGATGGCAGCCCCCTCTCCAGTGGTGGGTCTGTGGGCAGAGGTTCTTGCTGGGGATGGGGCTGAATCCCTGAGGATGAGGTATGAGGTGATCCTGGGGAGACAGGATAGCCTGGCTGTGGGCTCAGATCCTGTCCCTCCTCCTTTCCAGATTCTCATGATCTTCAGTAAGGATTGCACTGGCTATAGAATATCCACATTGGTGAATGTTATTAGAGGATTCATCTCCAGTCTGCACTCTTTAGTGAGCTCATCTTAGCCAGGGATGCCTGGTCTGGTCTGTGCTCAAGCTTCCTGCCCTGTTCTCCTCAACTGAAGCTGGAATCCAGATATCTGTTCCACCTGGTGTGGTCTCTATCAGGCTGATTCTAATAACTGCATCATGCTCAGTGTGCCCACTGTCTGTGTGCTCTGGGGAGGATGTGAGGCAGGAGGTTTTGCTTGATGGTGAAAAGAAGTGACACATATGGTCATTGAGGCCATGGGGTCCAGAGGCAGATAAGACAAGGGGAAAACTAGTCCCTGTCCCTGGCAAGCTGTGGGAACTTGGGAAAGTTTGTTGTAACTTTCCTAAGTTATCTGCTAAGGGGGATTTTGTATCAAGATTAAACCAATAACTTATAAGTAACTCTGGACTTCACCAACCTGGCAGGATAAAATTGTTTGTGGGCACAGATAACTTATCTCCCGCTCTGGACTTTCCCACAGTGGCAGAGTGTCTATTCCTTTAAATGTCCCTCTGGTTATTGACAGGTGTCTCAGGTGTTGACCTGAGCAGGCTTATCACAGGTCCCGTCTTCTCCCAGTGGCATTCACCATTTTCTGCTTGTTAAGTGAATGACTTCTGAGGATCCTGACGTTTCTTCAGGGACACTGAGTACCACTGCTGTTCTTGGTCCTGCCAGGGGGACCAGGACCTCAGTGATGTCTTAGACCAGGAGGAAGGGAGTGAATAGTAGAAGCTACCCCAGTGGGAATGTTTTTTCCACAGAAACAGCTCACGCTGTGAAGTGTGAACTGCCACTTGAGCATGTGTCTGGAACCCTCCAGCTTACTTGTAAAGGTGTGAAATGGGTAGTTGCATTACCATAGGAGGCTTGTGAAGCTACAAGGAAGGGACTAGGTTATATCCCCTTTTCTTAAGTTCTAGGACAATGTCAGTCTACAGTCAGTGTGACCCATGGAAAAAGTGGCAGAACTGGTAAAATCTACCTTCTGGTTAGGAAAGTATAATATGATCACATACTAAAGGCTGAACTTGGAAGTTGGAGTTAAGTGGCCAGGACCTTGAATCCTGGCCCTTCTTTGACCTCCTGGCTGAACTTAAAGATTTAAATTCATCCATTTGTTATTTCTACATCTCAGTTTTATGTCTACCATGTTCTGCATGCTCTACCAGACTTAGTGTTCAGTGTTCAGGTCATACTAAAGAGGTCTCAACTTTTGTTTGAAACTACAGTTAAAATTGGATGAATTAAGGGCTAAATTATATGTTTGTATGAGATGAATTGACATTTTAAAAATGTCAAGTATTCCCAAATCCATCCAAATAAATCTTTTTTTTTCTTAAATGAGAAAATAATTGTTTTACAATATGTGTTGGTTTCAGCCATACAGCAATGTTAATCAGCCATAAGTATACATATGTCCCTTCCTGAAACTCTGTCTAGTCCCTGAATAAATAAATCTTTATTCTAGTGAGGATTTACTTAAAGTTTACCCTCCCCCCACACTAAATTCTTAAGATCCACCAAGAAAATTGAAATAAAGAGGAACTATAAGGAGGATCGTTGTCACCAAGGATTACAACAGAAGTATTGGACTCCATAGAAGGTCTAGTTTTAGTGGAGGAATAAATACATGGTCATTGTGACAGAAGAGAAAACCCATAGATAAAGTCAAAGATAGTTTAAAATATAACAATAACAGTTCATTGAATCATGAAAAAGGAGTAGATTATTTAAAAATAGCATCGAGAAAAATGACCAAACATTAAGAGTCTAGATGGATCTGCCAAGCCTTTTCCTGTGGATCTATAAGGAGTAATCATTTTAATTGTCATGGTTCTAATGTTTAATTATTCATTTGTCTCAACTCATTTCTCCTCCGTCTCTCCACACTCTTTCAGTTTGACTGTCATGACATCATAGTTTCTTGTTTTTCTCCTGCTTTACTGTAAGATCCTTTTCAGGCCTTTCTGGTTGATTCCTATGCCAAGGACCATTCTCTCTGTATGTCTTTCTTTCTGTATATATATGGTCACTGTTAGTGATACTATCCACCTTCATTTTAACATCATTTATAACTTTCAAATTTAAATCTCCAGCCCCAGTACTAAAACATTGAAAGGGACTGAATTGAACCTCACTTAATATTTGTTTAATTAATGTTTTTTAAAGTTATAAAATTATTGTGAATTTAAATAAATGAAGAAGCTATTCAAAGGAAATTTTTGACAAAATAGTAATGTTGTTTTTCTTTATGAGTAACAGTTAATTTGGGACTTCCCTGATGGTCTAGTGTTTCAGACTCCAAGCTTCCACTAGACCGGGGCACATAGTCAATGCCTGGTGGGAAACTAAGATCCTGCATGCCACGTGGCCAAAAGGAGCAAACAAATAGCAGTTAGTTTAATGTAATCCCAATAAAATAACAACAGGATTTTTAAAAAAGTGTTTCATATGAGAGTCTTTGTTTGTCTTTGCGTGTCATTTATTTATTTATTTTTTGGTCTCACTGTGTGGCATGCAGAATCGGATTATTAAGTACTAGATCACCAGAGAAGTCCCAGGATTTTTTAGAAATGTATTTTATTCTTATAAAATTGATCTTACAGTTGTCATATGGTCTAGAAATCCCTTTTCTAGGTTTATACTCAGAAGAAATGAAAATTTGCATTCATATAAAAACCTGACCACTGATGTTTATAACAACTTTGTTCAGATAAGTTTATCAAAACTGGGAAACTACCTATGTGCCCTTCAAGTACTGAAGGTAAAACAAAGTATGTTACACTTCTACAATTGAATTCTACTTTAGCAATGAAAATGAAAGAACCATTGGCACATGCAGCAACATGGATGATTCTCAAGGATATTATGATGAGTGAAAGAATCAGAACTTAAAGACTACAATCATATGGTTTATTTATATGCTATTTATTGCATCATATTTGGAAAACTAAGCAAGAATAGCTGCAAAAAATATGTTAAGTAATTAGGGGCAGGAAACCCAGGAGATGCTGAAACATGTGCACTTTTATCATGGGCAGATAAATGGTCTATTAAAGGAATGCCAGAAATAGATCTTAATCATTTTATGGGAAGGAGCCAAGATGGCGGAGGAATAGGACGGGGAGACCACTTTCTCTCCTACAAATTCATCGAAAGAACATTTGAATGCTGAGCAAATTGCACAAAACAACTTCTGATCGCTAGCAGAGGACATCAGGCGCCCAGAAAAGCAGCCCATTGTTTTCGAAGGGAGGTAGGACAAAATATAAAAGATAAAAAGGGAGTCAAAAGAGCTATGGACGGAGACCCGTCCCGGGAAGGGAGTCTTAATAGAGGAAGTTTCCAATCACCAGGAAACCCTCGCACTGGCGGGACTGGGGGAAGTTTTCAGCAATCTAACTGGGAGGAAAAATTAAACAAGGCCCACAGATTACGTGCCTAAAAGCAACTCCCAGCAGAAAAGTACCCCAGACGCCCGTACCCGCCAGCAACAAGCGGGGGCGGGACGGAGAGGAGCGGGCGGCATTGCTTAGGGCCCGAACACACTGCCGGCGGTTCGCAAAACAAAGGGACTGAGAAAGTCCAGAGAAGAGCCGGCCCATCCCCGCTGGAGGTTGGAGGCAGGGGGTAGGGGAAAAGGGCAAACTCAGCCCCTGAGAAGCCACCCCCTCCCACACTGCAAACAGGCCCCCGGTTCCTATCTAAAGACTTCCTGAGACCCGACTGGCGGCGCGCGCTGGGGCCGCGGAGGGAAAAAGCGCGCCGTACCCGGGGAGCTTGCGCCCAAGCCTCTGGCTGCCTGGGCTGCCCGCCGCGGAGGGAAAAGGAGCGCCACCTCCGGGGAGAGTGCGCCCAAGCCTCTGGCTGCCTGGGCCCCTCGACGCGGAGGGAAAAGGCGCGCCACATCCGGGGAGAGTACGCCCAAGCCTCTGGCTGCCTGAACCGCTCAGGCCGGGGAAGGCACGGAACGCAGGCGCAACTGAATCTGCGCTTTTGTGGAGTACCCGAAGGCTGGAACCGCACTCAACGCAGGGCCCGCTCCATGTGGAGCAGCCGGGAGCCTGAGCAGTGTAGACGGCAAAAGCACTGACACCCATGAGCGGGGCAGACCCAGTGTGACCGGAACACGGTGAGTGCTATCCACACAGAGCGGTGTCTGTCTGCAGCGCCCCGCCCTCCCCGTAGCAGGACTGAACTGAACTAGAGAACCTAAATAAGAGATCACCTCCACCCGCCTGTGTCAGGGCGAAATTAGACACCGAAGAGACGGCAAACAGAAGCCAAATAAACAAAGGGAACCGCTTCAGAAAGGACTGGTGCAACAGATTAAAATCCCTGAAGGTAACACCGACTACACCAGAAGGGGCCTACAGATATCGAGAAGTGTAAGCTGGAAAGAGGAGCTATCTGAAATTGAACTGAACCTACGCTGACTGCAACAACTCCAGAGAAATTCCTAGATATATATATATATATATTTTTTTTAATTAAAAAAATTTTTTTTTTCTATCCTTTTTTTTAAAATTTTTTTAAATTTTTTCTCTTTTATTTTCTTTTAAAATTCCCTATTACTCCCCCATTACTCCTCAACTTTCATTTTCATATATTTTTACGATTTTTTTAATTAGGGAAAAAAAAAATTTTTTTTTCTTTTTTTTCTTTTTCTTGTTTTTCTCTCCTATTTCCTTTTAAAGTCCTCTAATACTCCTCTATTATTCCTTAATTTTCACTTTCATTTCACTATAACCTTGCCAAAAAAAAAAAAAAGAGAGAGAGAGAGAAACCCTATTTTTAAATCAAACTTCATATACATTTCAAAATTTTTTTTTGTGTTTTTGTTTTTAAATATTGTATTTCAAAGAGTCTAACCTCTACACTAGATTTTTAATCTTTGTTTTTCAGTAGTATGTGATATAAATTTTGGTCATTTAAGAATCCAATATTCAGTTCCCATTTCTATTCAGGAGTGTGGTGATTACTCTCCCACTTTTGACTCTCTGTTTTCTACCTCGGAACACCTCTATTTCCTCCTTTCCCCTTCTCTTCCCAATCCAACTCTGTGAATCTTTGTGGGTGTCTGGGCTATGGAGAACACTTTGGGAACAGATAACTGCGTAGATCTGTCTCCTCTTGAGTCCCCTTTTTCTCCTCCTGATCACCTCTATCTCCTTCCTCCCTCTCCTATTCTTCATGTAACTCTGTGAACCTCTCTGGTTGTCTCTCACGGTGGAGAATCTTTTCACCATTAACCTAGAAGTTTTATTATCAGTGCTGTATAGTTGGAGAAGTCTTGAGACTATTGGAAGAACAAAACTGAAATCCAGAGGCAGGAGACTTAAGCCCAAATCTTGAGAAAACCAGAAAACTCCTGACTACACGGAACATTAAGGAATAAGAGACCATCCAAAAGCTTCCATACCTACACCAAAACCAACCACCACCCAAGAGCCAATAAGCTCCAGTACAAGACATACCACGCAAATTCTTTAGCAACGCAGAAACATAGACCTGAGTGTCAACATACAGGCTCTCCAAAGTCACACCTAACACATAGATCCATTGCAAAACTCATTACTGGACACTCCATTGCACTCCAGAGAGAAGAAATCCAATTCCACGCACCAGAATGCTGACACAAGCTTCCCTAACCAGGAAACCTTGACAAACCAATCGTCCAACCCCACCCACTGGGTGAAACCTCCACAATAAAAAGGAACCTCAGACCACAAGAATACAGAAAGCCCACTCCAGACACAGCAATCTAAACAAGATGAAAAGGCAGAGAAATACCCAACAGCTAAAGGAACATGAAAAAAGCCCACCAAGTCAAACAAAAGAGGAGGAAATAGGGAATCTACCAGAAAAAGAATTTAGAATAATGATAATAGAAATGATCCAAAATCTTGAAAACAAAATGGAGTTACAAATAAATAGCCTGGAGATAAAGATTGAGAAGATGCAAGAAATGTTTAATAAGGACCTAGAAGAAATAAAAAAAAGTCAATTAAAAATTAATAATGAAATAAATGAGATCAAAAACACTCTGGAGGGAACCATGAGTAGAATAACAGAGACAGAAGATAGGATAAGTGAGTTAGAAGATAAAATGGTGGAAATAAATGAAGCAGAGAGGAAAAAAGAAAAAAGAATCAAAAGAAATGAGGACAACCTCAGGGACCTCTGGGACAATGTGAAACGCCCCAACATTCGAATCATAGGAGTCCCAGAAGAAGAAGACAAAAAGAAAGGCCATGAGAAGATACTCGAGGAGATAATAGCTGAAAACTTCCCTAAAATGGGGAAGGAAATAGCCACCCAAGTCCAAGAAACCCAGAGAGTCCCAAACAGGATAAACCCAAGGCGAAACACCCAAAGACACATATTAATCAAATTAACAAAGATCAAACACAAAGAACAAATATTAAAAGCAGCAAGGGAGAAACAACAAATAACACACAAAGGGATTCCCATAAGGATAACAGCTGATCTATCAATAGAAACCCTTCAGGCCAGAAGGGAATGGCAGGACATACTTAAAGTAATGAAAGAGAATAACCTACAACCTAGATTACTCTACCCAGCAAGGATCTCATTCAGATATGAAGGAGAACTCAAAAGCTTTACAGACAAGCAAAAGCTGAGAGAATTCAGCACCACCAAACCAGCTCTTCAACAAATACTAAAGGATCTTCTCTAGACAGGAAACACAGAAAGGTGGTATAAACGTGAACCCCAAACAACAAAATAAATGGCAACGGGACCATACCTATCAATAATTACCTTAAATGTAAATGGGTTGAATGCCCCAACCAAAAGACAAAGGCTGGCTGAATGGATAAAAAAGCAAGACCCCTATATATGCTGTCTACAAGAGACCCACCTCAAAGCAAGGGACACATACAGACTAAAAGTGAAGGGCTGGAAAAAAATATTCCACGCAAACGGAGACCAAAAGAAAGCAGGAGTCGCAATACTCATATCAGATAAAATAGACTTTCAAATAAAGACTGTGAAAAGAGACAAAGATGGACACTAAATAATGATCAAAGGATCAATCCAAGAAGAAGATATAACAATTATAAATATATATGCACCCAACATAGGAGCACCGCAATATGTAAGGCAAATGCTAACGAGTATGAAAGAGGAAATTAATAGTAACACAATAATAGTAGGAGACTTTAATACCCCACTCACAACTATGGATAGATCAACTAAACAGAAAATGAACAAGGAAGCACAAACTTTAAAGGACACAATGGACCAGTTAGACCTAATTGACATCTATAGGACGTTTCACCCCAAAACAATCAACTTCACCTTTTTCTCAAGTGCACACGGAACCTTCTCCAGAATAGATCACATCCTGGGCCATAAATCTAGTCTTGGTAAATTCAAAAAGATTGAAATAATTCCAGTCATCTTTTCTGACCACAGTGCAGTAAGATTAGATCTTAATTACAGGAAAAAAATTATTAAAAATTCAAACATATGGAGGCTAAACAACACGCTTCTGAATAACCAACAAATCATAGAAGAAATCAAAAAAGAAATCAAAATATGCATAGAAATGAACGAAAATGAAAACACAACAACCCAAAACCTATGGGACACTGTAAAGGCAGTGCTAAGGGGAAGAGTCATAGCATTACAGGCCTACCTCAAGAAACAAGAAAAAAGTCAAATAAATAACCTAACTCTACACCTAAAGCAACTAGAGGAGGAAGAAATGAAGAACCCCAGGGTTAGTAGAAGGAAAGAAATCTTAAAAATTAGGGCAGAAATAAATGCAAAAGAAACTAAAGAGAGCATAGCAAAATTTAACATAGCTAAAAGCTGGTTTTTTGAAAAAATAAACAAAATTGACAAACCATTAGCAAGACTCATTAAGAAACAAAGGGAGAAGAACCAAATTAACAAAATTAGAAACGAAAATGGAGAGATCACAACAGACAACACTGAAATACAAAGGATCATAAGAGACTACTACCAGCAGCTCTATGCCAATAAAATGGACAACTTGGAAGAAATGGACAAGTTCTTAGAGAAGTATAACTTTCCAAAACTGAACCAGGAAGAAATAGAAGATCTTAACAAACCCATCACAAGCAAGGAAATCGAAACTGTAATCAGAAATCTTCCAGCAATCAAAAGCCCAGGACCAGATGGCTTCACAGCTGAATTCTACCAAAAATTTAGAGAAGAGCTAACACCTATCTTACTCAAACTCTTCCAGAAAATTGCAGAAGAAGGTAAACTTCCAAACTCATTCTATGAGGCCACCATCACCCTAATTCCAAAACCAGACAAAGATGCCACAAAAAAAGAAAACTACAGGCCAATATCACTGATGAACATAGATGCAAAAATCCTTAACAAAATTCTAGCAAACAGAATCCAACAACATATTAAAAAAATCATACATCATGACCAAGTGGGCTTTATCCCAGGAATGCAAGGATTCTTTAATATCTGCAAATCAATCAATGTAATACACCACATTAACAAATTGAAAGATAAAAACCATATGATTATCTCAATAGATGCAGAAAAAGCCTTTGATAAAATTCAACATCCATTTATGATTAAAACTCTCCAGAAAGCAGAAATAGAAGGAACATACCTCAACAGAATAAAAGCTATATATGACAAACCCACAGCAAGCATCACCCTCAATGGTGAAAAACTGAAAGCATTTCCCCTGAAATCAGGAACAAGACAAGGGTGCCCACTCTCACCACTCCTATTCAACATAGTTTTGGAAGTTTTGGCCACAGCAATCAGAGCAGAAAAAGAAGTAAAAGGAATCCAGATAGGAAAAGAAGAAGTGAAACTCTCGCTGTTTGCAGATGACATGATCCTCTACATAGAAAATCCTAAAGACTCTACCAGAAAATTACTAGAGATAATCAACGAATACAGTAAAGTTGCAGGATATAAAATTAACACACAGAAATCTCTTGCATTCCTATACACTAACAATGAGAAAACAGAAAGAGAAATTAAGGAAACAATACCATTCACCATTGCAACAAAAAGAATAAAATACTTAGGAGTATATCTACCTAAAGAAACAAAAGACCTATACATAGAAAAC